GGTCACCACTCTAGTCCCGCCTCCGGTCACGAGTATGGCACCATCTCCGAATTTCCTTTCCACGGCGGGTCAATTTTCGGTCGATCATCGCTCCCGAGCACCTGGGCGGTCGCCTTTGAGGGGCATGTCCAGATCTGGCAGTACTCTGCCTCCACGATCTCGGAGCCCTTATCGTCACCATAGCGCTGTCATTGCGAGGCCTAAGATGGATTTCCCTCAATTCTGGGGGGAACGACCTCGTAGTTGGAAACGAAATTGCGAGTCATACTTCCGGGTTTTCCGCTTAGATCCGGTGCTTTGGGTGGACACCGCCGCGATGCATTTCACTGGGGCCGCTATGGTGTGGCTCGAAAACAGCAATTTCGATTTGCGTCACATGGAGTGGGAACACTTTTGCACCACTGTCTGTGAGCAGTTTGAGAGGAATGAGTTCACGGTGCTGCTGCGTTAGTTGTTTCACTTGAAACAAACTGATTCCGTGACCGATTACACCACTAAATTCACTGAGATAATGCATTCCTTGTTAGCCCACAGCACTACTTGGGATCCTGCCCTTTTTCCCTCATGATTTGTGGATGGTTTGCGCGACGAGATCCGCGTTGTTGTTTTGGTTCATAATCCAAAAGACCTCGATACTGCTGTTTCGTTGGCTTATTTACAGGAAGAGGCGCTGGAGATTTCCAAATGACGGGAGCCAAGACGCTCGGAGAGCACCGCGGGGAATGGCATGAGCAGCCGCTCCCATCTCAAAGGGGCCATGCCGTTGCCAGCACCTCCGGGACGGCCACCTCCTGCGGTCGCCATGCCGACAGATGAACGTTGGGGAGCAGCCGCTGATGGGCTAAAGGGGGCAGTTCTGTGGAAGATCGACTGACAACCCTGCGTGCCTATCGTCGAGCCAGAGGCCTCTGCTACATGTGTGGAGAGAGGTGGAGTCGAGAGCACAAGTGTGCAGCAGCAGTGCAACTCCACGTTGTGCAGGAAATGTTTGATGTGTTGGGTTTGTCCAGTGGCTCGACAGGTGAGGAACACTCAGATACTGCAAGTGAATGTCACACCATATCCAGGGCAGCAGTGCAAGGCTCAGTCGCACCTCAGACTCTGCGGTTGCAAGGCAAGATTCAGAATCAGCAGGTGTTGATGCTTGTCGACTCGGGCAGTTCGCACAGTTTTGTTAGTTCTGATCTGGCTGGTCGTTTGAAAGGAGTGCACAAGATCTCCAATGTTCTGAAGGTGAAAATAGCAGACGGAGGTCAGCTTCTCAGCGACCATGCTATCACGCAATGTGGGTGGTCAGTACAAGGGCACAAGTTTACTTCTGACCTCAAGGTTCTGCCGTTGGGGTGCTATGACATGATCATTGGAATGGACTGGTTAGAGCAACACAGTCCTATGGACGTGCACTGGGGAGACAAGAGAATGGCTTTCAACCACCATGGGAAGAAGATCACGTTGAGTGGCATACAACCTCACACCAAAGAGTGCTATCCTGTGACTACGGATCAACTGCACTTCATGATGAGCTGTAATGATGTGCATCAACTGGTGCATCTCCAAGCTGTGGATAACAAGCAGAAACAGCAGACTGAGATGGAGATACCACCCCCAATAGCAAAACTCATCGACGAATTCCAGTCCTTGTTCGAGGCTCCGAAAGGCCTACCACCTGCTCGGCCTTTTGATCACAAAATACCACTCATACCTGGCGCTCAACCAGTGAACATCAAGCCCTATCGGTACAGTCCGTTTCAGAAAGATGAAATAGAGAAGCAGGTTCAAGAGATGCTGGATCAAGGCATCATTCAGCCCAGCTACAGTCTGTTTGCTTCACCAGTCCTGCTGGTTCAAAAGAAAGATATGTCCTGGCGATTTTGCGTGGATTACCGGCAGCTCAATGCCATCACCGTTAAGGATCATTTTCCCATGCCAGTTATTGAGGAGCTTCTTGATGAGCTTGCGGGATCCAAATGGTTTACCTGCCTGGACTTGAAGGCGGGATATCACCAGATTCGTATGGCACCCGAGGATGTTTACAAAACAGCGTTCAAAACCCACCTGGGGCACTATGAGTTCAAAGTGTTGGCATATGGACTGTGCTGTGGTCCGGGAACTTTTCAAGGGGGCATGCACTATGTATTGGGTCCCTTGTTGCGGCATGGAGTTCTAGTGTTCATCGACGACATCCTGGTCCATAATGAGACTTTGGAAGAGCACATCAAACTTCTCCGAAAAGTCTTTGAACTGTTGGACAAACACCAACTTAAGGTAAAGCTGTCCAAGTGCAAATTCGCCTAGCAACAACTCACCTACTTGGGACACGTCATCAGCGAGCAGGGTGTCGCCACCGATGAGAAGAATATCGCAGCTATCAGAGATTGGCCGACACCTACTGGAGTTAAGCAAGTGCGAGGGTTTCTTGGTCTGGCAGGCTATTATAGGCGATTTGTACGTGATTTTGGGCTCATCAGTTATCCTTTGACAAATCTGCTAAAGAAACACTCTATTTTTGTGTGGTCGGCCGAGGCTGAGGAGGCGTTCGACCATCTAAAAAAATCTTTAATTTTAGCCCCTGTGTTGGCACTTCCTCGGTTTGATAGACCGTTCGAAATTGAGACGGATGCCTCTGAGTTTGGGGTGGGGGCTGTACTGATTCAAGATGGGCACCCGCTGGCTTTTCTCAGCAAAGCGTTGGGACCAAGGAACCGTGGTTTGTCCACCTACGAGAAAGAATACATGGCAATCTTGATGGCAGTTGATCGATGGCGTGCCTATCTGCAATGGAGTGAGTTCATCATCCGCACAGACCAAAGCGCATTGTCTCATTTGAACGACCAACGGCTAGTGACTCCTTGGCAGAGACGTGCTTACACAAAACTCATGGGGATGCAGTACAAAGTGGTGTACAGGAAAGGGGTTGAGAACAAAGCGGCCGATGCCTTATCGCGACGAGATGCAGAAGTTTCGGCGATATCGGTGGCTCTACCTGTTTGGCTGGATGAAGTAGTGCAGGGCTACCAGACTGATGAAAATGCTAAGGAGATCTTGCTTTGCTGCAACGAGATGGGAGACACAGCCTCTGACTATTCTGTTCGAGATGGGGTGATTTTTTACAAAGACAGGGTGTGGATTGGTGCCAATACAGCTATGCAATAGAAACTCTTGCATGCCATTCATGCTAGTGCCACAGGGGGCCACTCTGGCATTCATGCCACCTATGACAGATTGCGACGCTTGTTCGCTTGGCCTGGAATGAAGCAAGATGTGGTGAACCTGGTGTCTAACTGCAGTGTGTGCAAGCAATCCAAAAGTGAACGGATCCGTACTCCTGGACTGCTCGAACCCTTGCCCATTCCACCTCATGCGTGGCATATGGTTACTCTGGATTTCGTGGAAGGATTGCCAGTGTCTCGGGGTTACTCATGCATCCTGGTAGTGGTAGACAAGTTGACCAGGTATGCTCACTTCATTCCGCTTGCTCATCCTTTCTTAGCCTTGCAAGTCGCGACCGCATTCATGACTCATGTCTACAAGCTTCACGGGCTGCCTCATGATTTGGTCTCAGACCGTGA